AAGTGAAGAAAATAGATGCTTCTAAATATGTTGATGAAGTTTTTGATGAAGTTGTGAAGACTTTTGACAAGGAAGGCTAATTCTAAACCTGAAAGCATCCTTGAAATAATGCTTAAATACTGTTTTGATAGCTGCTATCAAAACTGCCCTTGTTAAGGCAATTTTAATCTTTCATAACTACATCTCAGTTAGTGGCTGGAAAGTATATGGTAAAACAAATTAAATGTATGTTTCTATTTTGGTCACAGGAACAGACAGTGAATTCAGGTTTAACTTCATCTTAGTTATGGTGCTCACTAAACAAAGAAGGGTATCAGCTAGTTTATTTTTTTTTAATTCAAAAAGAATATCGTTTTTATACTTTGTGCCTTCTGTGAGCAAAACTTTTTAGTATGCATACATATCTATCCCTTTAATAATTACAATGTGTTAAGATTTATGGATACCCACTTTCTCTTTTTTTTTTCTTTTTGTGCAGTGGCGTGATCTTGGATCACTGCAACCTTCGCCTCCCGGGTTCAAGTGATTCTCCTGCCTCAGCCTCGCAAGTAGCTGGGACTACAGACGAGTGCCACTATGCCCAGCTAATTTTTTGTATTTTTAGTGCAGATGGGGTTTCACCATGTTAGCCAGGATGGTCTTGATCTCCTGACCCAGTGATCCACCCTCCTCAGCCTCACAAAGTGCTGGATTACAGGAGTAAGCCACCGTGCCCGGAGCCACCCTAAGTTTCTTTTTTTTTTAAAGAGAAAAAGGGGAAAAAAAGAAAAAGAGGGAAATAGGAATATTACTTCATTCCTAAAATGGGTTTCAATAATGGCCGATCAATATTTTGAGTGTTTAAAGTGGTTAATGCATATTTCATGTGTTTAAAATGGAGACCTCTATTGTGTTTATTTGTTCTGGCTCTGAGTTCAAGTCCTGGATATCGTTATCAATTTGTTGTCTCGTTGAATCTAAATCTCATTATGTGTCTTATGTATCTGGGTGTTAAGATCTCTTATTGTTGCATTAATCCTTTTACCCTTGTATCCTTGTAGCTTTGAAATCTATTTTATTAAGTGTGAAAATTGCAACTCCTGCTTTTTATTTATTTATTTTTGCTCTCCATTTGGTTGGTGAGTTTTTTCCATCCCCTTGTTTTGAGTCTTTGTATATCTTTAGATATATCATTAGATTTTGTGGATAATGTATATTTTGTGTGTTTAAAATGGAGAGTTCTATTGAGTTTATTTGTTCTGGATCTTAGTTCCAGTCCCGGATATCGTTATCAATTTTCTGTCTCATTGAATCTAAATCTCATTATGGGTCTTATGTATCTGGGTGTTAAGATCTCTTATTATTACATTAATCCTTTTACCCTTGTATCCTTGCAGCTTTGAAATCTATTTTGTCAAATGTGAAAATTGCAACTCCTGCTTTTTATTTATTTATTTTTGCTCTCCATTTGGTTGGTACGTTTTTTTTTTTCCAACCCTTTATTTTGAGTCTATGTATATCTTTGGATATACTGTTAGATTTTGTCTGTATCTTTTGATTGGGAGATTTGGTCGATTTAAATTTAGGGTTGCTGCCGTTTGATATTAACTGGCTATTTTGTCCTTTCGTTGATAAAAATTCTTCTTTATGTTAATGCTCTTTACTTTTTGATGTATTTTTAGAAAGGGTCATACTGGTTGTTCCTTTCTGTGTATAATGCTTCTTTTAGAAGTTCTTGTAAAGCAGGCCTGGTGGTAATAAAATCTCTGAGTACTTGCTTGTTCCTAAAAGATTTTATTTTTCCTTCAAATTTAAAGCTTAAATTGGCAGGATATGAAATTCTGGGCTGAAAGTTCTGTTGATTAAGTATATTGAATATTGGCCCCCACTCTCTTCTAGCTTGTAGGGTTTCCGTTGAGAGATCTGCTGTAAGCCTAATAGGCTTACCTTTATGGGTAACTTGATCTTTCTCTCTGGCTGCCCTTAATATTTTCTCCTTCGTTTCGATCTTGGTGAATCTAACGATTATGTGCCTTGGGGTTTGTCTCCTTGAGGAATATCTTTGTGGTGTTCTCTGTATTGCCTGGGGTTGAATAGTGTCCTGCTTTGCTAAATTAGGAAAATTTTCCTGGATAATGTTCTGGAGAGTATTTTCCAGCTTGAATTCATTCTCTCCGTCACATTCAGGTACACCAATCAAGCGTATATTAGGTCTTTTCACATAGTCCCATATTACTTGGAGACTTTGCTCATTCCTTTTTATCCTTTTTTCTCTATTCTTGTCTTGTTGTTTTGTTTCATTAAGTTGATCTTCGACCTCTGATACCCTTTCTTCTGCTTGATCCATTCAGCTGTTTAATCTTGTACATATTTCACTAAGTTCTCGTGTTGTATTTTTCAACTCCATAAGTTCATTTGTATTCCTCTCTATGTTGTCTATTCTTTTCAACATTTCATCTAACCTTTTTCCCAAGTTCTTAGTTTCTTTACATTGGGTTAGAACAAGTTCCTTTAACTCCCAGAAGTTTCTTATCATCCACCTTTTAAAGCCTACTTCAGATAATGGAACACAGTCCTTTTCCATCAGGGCTTGTTCTGTTACTAATGAGTCCTTTTCCATCAGGGCTTGTTCGGTTGCTGATGAGTCCTTTTCCATCAGGGCTTGTTCCGTTGCTGATGGGTTCTGATTTTGAGTATACTCAGCCTTCTTAGGCTGTTTTTTTCCCTTCATTGTAGATGAACCGCCTTTCTAATTAGTTTTCTGAGTCGACGTCCGACTTATTGATTCCCAGTGTTGGGATCCGAGCAACCCACTGTGGCAGCCTAAATAGCAGCGATAAGACTGATGGTGCTCTTCTGCCCAGGAATCTCTGGTCTGGCTTCCCTCTTGAGTCTGCAACAAGCAGCTCTGACTTCCCGGAGCTCCAAACTCCGGTCAGTAGGGGAAGCAGTCCCGTTGGCTCTGCATGAAGAGCTGCTGCGCCGAGATGCCGGCAAAACTGCTGTGGCGGCCCCAAGAGTCGCGCTGGCGACCCGTGGGGCTCCTCCACTGGGAATCGGCTGATCGGTGAGTGACGAAAATTCGTCTAAAAGTGTGGCGTCGTCTCGTTCTCTGGGCTTTCACTGGGAGCTACAATCCTGAGCTGTTAGTGGTCAGCCATCTTGGATCGATCCCTCCCACTTTCTCTTTTTCTTGCAAGTTTTAAATTTCCAACCTTAACTGAATTTGTGGACCAAATATCAAAGGAACTTTTTTGTGTAGTCAGTTCTTGTACAATGTGTTTGGTAAACAAACTGAAAATGGATTCTTAGCAGTGTTTTAGTATTTATCAAATAACTGACCATTTTCTATAGAAAGGTGAGAAAATTTAGGCTTTGTTTTACTACAACTTGTGCAAAGTTGTATGACAGGGCATATTCTTTGCTTCCAAGATTTGGGTTGGGGGCACTAGGGGTTCAGAGCCTGGTAGAATTGTCAGTTTTATTCTGACATAATCTAAGGGTATGAGGCAAGGATTACATCAATGCTTGTGTTCCTTATACTCTGTTATTCATGATTCAGCTGATCCTAAAATTTCTAGCAATGGAACCTTGAAATGCATGTGACTAGATTTATGCTAAAATGATTCAGTTAGCATTTTAGTAACACTTTAACGGGTTTTTTTTGTTTTCTAGACTTAATAAAAGGTTAGGATTAATTAGGAGAAGGAATCTAATTGTTCCCCATTTGTATTTTATTTTCTTGAATACTTTTTCATAGTTTTTGTTTAAAGAGATTTAAAAATCATTGCAATTTGGTCAGAAAAATAATAAATATATCTTATAAATGTTTAAAAAAAAAAAACTTCTGTGAGTTAAAAAAAACATGTTCTAGCCCAATGTAAAGAAACTAAGAACCTTGAAAAAAGGTTTGACAAAATCCTAACTAGAATAGACAATTTAGAGAGGAATATAAGTGAATTAATGGAACTGAAGAATACAAGAACTCCACAGAGTATGCACAGGTTTTAACACTCGAATTGATCAAGCAGAAGAAAGGATATCAGAGGTCGAAGACCAACTTAGTGAAATGAAATGAGAAGACAAGACTAGAGAAGGAAGAGTAAAAAGGAATGCGCAAAGTCTCCAAGAAATATGGGACTATGGGAAAAGACTTAATTTATGTACCTGTATGTCATGAAGAGAATGAATCCAAGCTGGAAAATATTCTTCGGGATATTATTCAGGAAAACTTTCCTAACCTAGTAAGCCAGGACAATACTTAACTCCAGGTAATACAGAGAACACCACAAAGATATTCCTCAAGTAGAGCAACCCCAAGACACAAAATCATTAGATTCACCAGGGTTGAAATAAAGGAGAAAATTCTAAGGGCAGCTAGAGAGAAAGGTCAGGTTACCCATAAAGGGAAGCCTATCAGACTCACAGCAGATCTCTCAGCAGAAACCCTACAAACTAGAAGAGAGTGGGGGTTAATATTTAATATCCTCAATGAAAAGAACTTTCAACCCAGAATCTCATATCCAGCCAAACTAAGCTTCATAAATGAAGGAAAAATAAAATTTTTCATGAACAAGCAAGCACTCAGAGATTTCATCACCACCAGGCGTGCTTTACAAGAGCTTCTGAAAGAGACACTATACACAGAAAGGAACAACCAGTATCAGTCATCCCAAAAACTTACCAAAAGGTAAAGAGTATCTCCATAATGAAGAATCTATATCAACTAATGGGCAAAATAGCCAGCTAGCGTTAAACAATAATATTAAACTCACAGTTATCAATATTTATCCTAAATTTAAATGGATTAAATGCCCCAATCAAAGACACGGACAGGCAAATTGAATAAAAAGTCAAAACTCATCAGTACGCTGTATCCAGATCCGTCTCATAAGCAAGGACTCACAAAGACTCAAAGTGTTTGTGGAAGACTTACCAATCAAATGGAGAGCAAAAAACAAAACAAAACAAAAACAAAAAACAGGAGTTGTAACTTTCGTCTCTGACAAAATAGACTTTAATGGTAACAAAGACTAAAAGAAACAAAGAAGGACATTACATAATGGTAAAGGATCAATACAACAACAGGAGTCAATGATCATAAATATATATGCACCCAATACAGGAGCACCCAGATACATAAGACAAGTTCTTAATGACTTATAAAGAGACTTGGACTCCCGCACAATAATAGTGGGAGACTCTGACACCACATTGTTAATCCTCGACGGATCAATGAGATAGAAAATTAACAGGGACATCTATGATTAGAACTCAGACCTGGAACAAGTAAACTCAGTGGATATTTATAGAATTCTACACCCCAGATCCACAGAACATACATTTTTCTCAGTATCACATTACACCTATTTTGAAAGTGACCACATAATTGGAAGTAAACCACTCTTCAGCATTTGCATAGCATTTCACAGACTTAAACGAAATATTGGTTGGCTGTTTGTTATTTTCTTCCCTTATTCCTTCCTGTCTCTGCTGTTAAGCACAATTATCAGCATAAAAGATGTTTTCAATACCTATTTTTACATTGCATTCCAGCCTGGGCAATAGAGCAAGACTCCTGTTCTCTCTCCCCATTTCTCTTTTTCTTTCTTTCTTTCAAAAAAAAAATTTTTAACACACACAAGAACAATCCTATGCATTGCTCATGGATGCAATTGTGGTTGGTTCAGGGAAATTTGAAATGTTCAAAGGGCACTTCAACTTTATCTGTTATTAGGCAATCCTTTAAAAAAATGAGACAGACTAAAAATGGCAAAATATTAACAAATGTTTCTTTCATGTGGGGGAAGATGAAATCTTTGTTATATAATTTTCTATAATCTCTGTTTTGGTATCTCTATTTTTATCTCTGCATCTATTGATAGGTGCATATATAGATATGCATTGATGCACACATATATTTTTCTTTTATGAAATGTATATATGGGTTAAGTGTTCCTAATCCAAATATCCAAAATTTGAAATCCTCCAAAATCTAAAATCTTTTGAGTGCCAACTTGATGCTCTAAGGAATTCTCATTGGAGTGTTCAGATTTCCGATTTTCAGATGAGGGGGGCTGAAACAGTAAGTGTAATACAAGTATTCCAAAATCTGAAAAAAGCCAAAATCTGAAATGCTTCTGGTTCCAAGTATATCTGATAAGGGGTGATTAGCTTGTGTCTGTTTTCTCAAATAAAAATGAGATTTATTTATTTATTTTTAAATTTTTATGGGTACATAGTAGGGGGATATATTTATGGGATACATGAGATATGTTAGTACAGGCAAACAATCCATAATAATCATATAATTCTTTGAATTAGAGTCACATAATTTTGACTTTAAATATTTTCAGGAAGGCCTCCTTTACATCCTTGTTCCTGGATCTATAGATGATGAGACCGAGGAAGGCAGAGACAACATTGTAGTCTTGGAGTATCTAACCTCTCAAGCATTTATCCATTGTTTTATAGACAATCCAATTATACTCTTTAAGTTGTTTTTAAATACAGAATTAAATTATTATTTATTATAGTGCTATCAAACGCTGCATCTTATTCATTCTTTGTATTTTTTGGTACCCTGTAACGGTACTCACCTCCTCTGCTAGTCCCTCCAACCTTCATTACCTTTCCTAACCTCTGGTAACCATCCTTCTGTTCTCTGCTTCCATGAGTTCAATTGCTCTGATTTTTTAGATCCCATAAATAAGTGAGAACATGTAAAGATTGTCTTTCTGTGCCTTCCTTATTTCGCTTAACATAATGAACTCCATTTCCATCCATGTTGTTGCAAATGATAGAATCTCATTCTTTTCTAGGCTGAGTAGTATCGCACTGTGTACAGGTGCCATGTTTTCTTTATCCATTTATCTGTGGATGAACATTTAGGTTGATTCCAAATTTTGGCTATTGTGAACAGCGCTGCAACAAACATGGGAGTACAGAAATCTCTTGAATGCACTGATTTCCTTTCCTTGGGTACAGAACCAGCAGTGTGGTTGCTTGCTGGATTGCATGATAGCTCTGCTTCTAATTTCTCGAGGAACTTCCAAACTGTTCTCCATAGTGGTTGTACCAATTTACATTCCCACCAACAGTGTATGAGGGCTTCCTTTTCTCCACATCCTCACCAGCATTTGTTATTTCCTGACCTTTGGATAAAAGCCATTTTAACTGGGGGCGAGATGATATCTCATTGTAGCTTTGATTTGCATTTCTCTGATGATCAGGGTTGTCGAGCCCCTTTTCATATGCCTGTTTGTCATATGTATGCCTTCATTTGAGAAATGTCTATTCAAATCTTTTGCCCAAAAAAATGAGATTGAAAATGTAAATTTTAAACTGATCAGGTAAGAGTCAATTCTACAAGCTGAGCCCAGACCAGACTAGACTAGTTATTAGCCATGTTGTTTCGCATATGTCTAAAATAATTCTAGCTCTGATTTTCTAAGCGCCTAGTGTACGAAGCAATGCTAAATATTACTTGTGTTTGTTAGACAGTAATGCAAGACTGTGTCCCTGCATAATCTGCTGCTCTTTATGCAATTTTTACCCCAAATGACTCTTTGTGTCGTTTTCACACTGTGAAAGAGCATGTGTACATGTTAAACATGTGACTGCCATCATGCTGAACTCACATAAACTTCCAGAGGTAAGGAGAGAACCCAGGAAAAGCACAAAAGCAATGGCCACGAACCACAAGGACACAGTCGTAAAGAAATCCTTTGCCTTCAGTACTCAACTGAGTGTTTGGGTGGTGGGAGCTGAACATTTTCCAACCAGTGATAGAGGACTTGCAGGTTAGGGCTGGCCACACCCTCTTCTGGCTGCTCGCAGCTGCAGGAAGACTCAGGTTGGTCAGATGAGGTACCTGTGTGGTACCAAATGAGCGCATCCAGTATGCCCGTGACTATGGACAACTCAAACATCTTGAGACATTAAGCTGTCGTTCTGACTCTAAATATTTTCAGAAAGGCCTCCTTTACATCCTTGTTCCTGAGGCTGTAGATGATGGGATTGAGGAAGGCAGAGACCACATTGTAGAACAGCGCTAGCTTCTTGTCCCGCTCTGGGTCATACCAAGAACCGGGCCTCATGTACATGATGATGGCCGGCCCATAGAACATGGTGACCACAGTGACGTGGGAAGCACACGTGGAGAAGGACTTGAGCCTCCCCTGCGCTGAGCGGATTCTGAAGATAGAGGCAAAGATGAAGACATAAGAGGCCAGGATGAGGGAGAGTGGGACCAAAAGCAGGATGAAACCCAAGATGAAGTCCAGCCTGTCATTAAAAGATGTGTCTGCACAGGCCAACTTCAGGACAGCAGGGACCTCACAGAAGAAGTGGTTTATCTTGTAGGGGCCACAATAAGGCAGATGCATGGTGAAGACAGTGAGGATCAGGGCCCCAGCTATGCTAATGGACCAACAAACTATAATCATCGTGACACAAATGGAATGGCTCATGAGTAGCATATAGCGAAGGGGGAAGCAAATGGCAACGTACCTGTCATAGGCCATAATGGCATAGAGGACACACTCAGCAATGCCCAGGACCAAGAAGATGAACATCTGGGCTGCACAAGCTCCCCAGGAGATGCTCCTCCGCGGACACACCATATTAACCAACATCTGGGGCACAGTGGTAGTGACATAGCTCATGTCCACCAGAGAGAGGACGCTGAGAAAAAGGTACATGGGCGTGTGGAGGTGTGAGTCCAGGTAGATAAGCATGACGATGAGTCCGTTGCCCACAAGGGTGGTGAGGTAGAGGAGCAGGAAGAGGGCAAACAGGGCCATTCCGACCTGTGTCTCACTGGAGAAGCCGAGGAGGATGAACTCGGACACAGAGCTGCGGTTTTCCTTGCTGAGGCTCTGCATGGTGATCTGCCTTTTAAGGACAGACAAAGACTTCCCTGTTCTGTCCCTGCCCTTGGCAAAGGAGGGCTGGGATTGACAGAAGGTGAGCTGCACACAGCAGCATGCACAGTAGCTTGCACAGATTAGGTCAAACCTTTATTGAGTTGGATGAAAAGGACAAGAAGGCCACGGCAGCTGTGGCACTGGGTAACACATCAGCTCTCGATTCATGGCTGTAATGCAGGGCAGGATGCCCAACTGCCCACAGAGCCTTCTCTGGGAACCACCCACATCATAGAAAACAAGGCATTAGGTAGCCATGTTTGTAGCCGGTAACCCAGCCACTCCTGAGTTCTACCATGGGTGCGCACGTGCCCCAGCCTGGACTGAGTAGATGCCTCTGCTGAAAATCTAATTATGACCTTGGGGGCGTAGGGTTCTGTCACCCCAGAGCTAGTGTGCTTGCAACCTAAGGTCACAGGGTGGCTGAGGTGATGGAGGAGAAGGAAATGAAAGTCCTCCAGAGATGAAAAAAGATGTGCTGGGATGCAGGGGGGAGAGACCTCACAGCCCTGAGCACCAGAGACAGGGACCCTGGTTCCAGGCCTGCTATTCCCATTTTCCCTGAGGTCTGTCTCGGCTTTGTGTCTTATACTTAGATAGAAATGGGATTTTATGTTGAATCCTTACAACGGCCACCTTGTGACCACATTTTCAACTCAGCTGTTCCTGAGTGTCCACGGTTGTCACTCACCCAGCTGCTTGACCATGTGCAAGTCTCTTCACCTCCATCGGCATCAGTTTCCCCATCTGTTACATAGAGAGGGAACATCTAGGCCAGGGTTATGGCAAGGAAACTATGAGAGATACTGTATGTCAAGACATTTTGCAAAATATAAATCACTAGGCAAATAAAAGGGCTTAGTGTAAGTGAATGAGCCTGTAAGTGAAATCAGAAGAACTCGGGGCTAGTCCTGCCTCTGCCTCTGATTTTCCTTGTGATCTTGGCTAACTCCACATCCCTCTCTGAGCTTGAGAGCCCCATTTTAAAAAGGAAGCTGTTGGATTCCAGAGCGTCCACCCAGCTCTGATGATCTTTGATACCGGGAACCCCAGGCTAGAGACCCATGGTCACATCAGTGCCTGAGCAGCAAGGGTGGGCTGAGCTGAGCAGGACTGTGTTGGCAGGAGATTCACTGTAGGAGCTAGAGATGTGTCCAGAGCATTGGAAAGCACCTAGAGCATAGTCTCAGCCATCAGCACTCTGGAGTCTAGTGGCCTCTTCTCCTATTTCCAAGTCGCACAGCCTCTCATTTAGCCTCCTCATCTACTCCCAAGTCACTTAGCCTCCCATGTTCTTCGTGTGTAAAATGGGGTAATACCTCCTCCACAGTGAAGATTGCATGAAATATACCAGGTTTGTAGAACATGCTTAACAAATGGAAGCAATTTAGATCCTAGGAAGCTGGGTGGAAGGAGGAGTGGAGAGAGGAGAGAGTAGGTACAGTAGTTTTCTCAAGCGTCTGAGCTTCCAGAGGACAGGGTTGAAAACATGGTCATTAGGGCTGAAGGCCACGAATGACAGTGGGGGTGAGGAAGCTGGAGAAACTGACTGAGGCTGAATGGGTGAAAGAAGACAGTGTCAGATGCATATTCTGTGCTTTAAGGAACACCAGTAATTGGATGAAAGAGAAAAACGTCCCAGATAAGGAATCTTTGTGAAGGTACGAGGAGACCTAGGGCAGCTCAGGGTCCTGGATACTAAGAGGGAAAACTTTTCAAGAGATAAGGACTGGTCAGCAATAAGGATGGCAAACACTGACACCAGGATGGTGAGCGCTGAGAATGAGGAGGGACCCACATCCTCCTCTCCCCAATCCACACCCCAGACCTGGACTCATGCAGAGGCCTCCTACGGGCCACCCTTCATCACCTCCACCAGCAGATATTGTGTCAGCTACCATGCCCTTCTCACATCTCCTTAGACTGGAACTCAAGTCCCTTTCCAGTCTGGTGCTAACAAGTTTTCAAGTCTGTGTGACTCTCCATGTATCTCTGTGAGGATCCAAAGGGATCCTCATCTGGGCAGCTGGGATCCCCCATCTCGGAGCCACAGATCCTCCATGCTAGCTGGCTTCCTCGTGCCTGCCATGTGTGCCACCACGTTTTGCTCTAGCTGTTCCACTGCTGGGAAAGCCTTTTTTAATCCTTTCTGCTTCCACAGCTCTCACCCTTCCAGGTCCAGCTTGGGTTTGCCTCATCCTTACCTGACCAGTCCAGCCTCGTTTATTTTATGTGCATATTCTCTTCCCCGCCTGGCTGAGGGCAGAGGCCACATGTCTTTTATATCTCTCCATGGTATTAGTTTTTAGCATCTGGCAGATCCAGGCGTCCTCTTTGTATCAGAATGGGGTTGGAGAGATTTCTAGCCCCTGAAAAGCCTGGGGATTCCCTGTCTATGTGATAAATGCAGCACAGAGCCCCTCAGCTGGATGCAATAAACAGCCAGAAAGTTTTGTGCTCCCAGGACATTTCCAGCTTGGAGCTGGTGAGCTGGGTTTCTTTCTGAAATTTCCTCTGGGTACTGAAACTGTTTCCCACTGAGACTTAGAGGAGGGAGGGGTCCTGTGGTTGAGTGGCCACATCCCTGTGTGACACGGTGATAGCACTATCATAATAAGATGTGCTTTGTTTCCTCCCAAACATTTTTCTGTGCCTTTTACACCCTCAGGCATCTTTCCCAAGGCCACACACCCAATAGAGACAAAACTAAGGCTTGGCTACAGATAGAGTAGTCCCCCCATCCATGGGGGATATGTTCCCAGACCCCCAGCAGACGTCTGAAACTGCAGATAGCAAAAAACTCTATATATACCAGGCTTTTTCCTACACACACATACCTATGATGAAGTTTACTTTCTAAATTAGGCACAGTAAGAGATTAACAGCACCGAATAATAATAGAATAATCATAACAATACACTGTAGTAAAAAGTTCCATGAATGTGGTCTCCCTCTACATATCCTGCTGTACTGTACTCAGCTGCTTGTGATGATGTGAGATGATAAAGTGCCTGTGTGATGGGAGGAAATGAGGCGAGTGACGTAGACGTCACAGCATAGCTTTAGGTGCTACTGACCTTGAGTATAAGCACAGCGATAGCACCACAGTCGATCTGTAACCAAGATGGCTACTGAGTGACTAACAGCCAGTTAGTGTAGACAGTGCAGATACATTGGACAAAGGATGATTTGTGTCCTGGGTGGGACAGAGCAGGACAGCGTGAGATTTCTGCTGAAATGAAATCTCACAGTGGTGTGTGATTGAAAACTTATGAATTGGGTGCGGTGGCTCAAGCCTGTAATCCCAGCACTTTGGGAGGCCGAGGGGGGGTGGATCATGAGGTCAAGAGATCGAGACCATCCTGGTCAACATGGTGAAATCCCGTCTCTACTAAAAATGCAAAAAAAATTAGCTGGGCACGGTGGCATGTGCCTGTAATCCCAGCTACTCAGGAGGCTGAGGCAGGAGAATTGCCTGAACTCAGGAGGCAGAGGTTGTGGTGAGCAGAGGTCGCGCCATTGCACTCCAGCCTGGGTAACAAGAGTGAAACTCCGTCTCAAAAAAAAAGAAAACTTATGAATTATTTATTTCTGAAATTTTCCATTTAATATTTTTGGGCCCTGGTTGGCTGCAGGTTAGTGAAACCACTTGTAAGGAGGACTATTGTTATATCAATGCTACTAATACTTACTAGTGTCCCTGTAACTACCATTTATTGGAGACTGACTATTTTCCTTAAATGTCTACTCAAGTCTACACACCTCGCTGTGCTATCAAGGCTACCGAATCTATTACTCTAACAATGACTACCTACTATTTCACACCCTCTCATATCAGATGACACACAGGGCACTACACACAATGTTATTAATCCTCACAACACTGTCAATATGTCATTTGATAGACCGGAAGGCTCAGAGAGGTTAAGAGAATTAAGTGGTTCACACTTAATTGATGCTGCTCACAGCACACAGCAGGTAAGCTGTATTTCCAAAATTTGAACTTAGATATGTCAGATGCCAAATCATCCTACGGCAACGTTTCTACAACTAGGGTGCAATGATGGTTATAGTCAGGCTGTAGAATTATTACACGACTGAGGGTAGGAGCCAGATGGTCAAAGGGCCAGTGCAGCTGTGCAGCCTTCCTCTGATCCACTTGGAGGACTCTCTCCCCAACTGAGTGTTCTCCTGAGTCTTTCTAGAATTCCAAGAGAGAAAAGCAAGAGACTGGCTTGGTCTCATTAACTGCTGCAAGACAGGGCCTACTGGAAAAGAACCTGCCTCACAAATTGGAGGCATTGATCAACTGTGGCAGATGGCCCAGTCAAGAAGGATAAAATTCAAATTATTATTTTTTGCATTAATTTTTAAAAATTAATTATATATATGTATATTACTGTGTTTCAGGTTTTGGAGTACATGTGAAGAGCATGCAGGATTGTTGCATAGGTACATACATGGCAATGTGGTTTGCTGCCTTCCTCTCCATCACCTATATCTGGCATTTCTCCCCATGTTATCCCTCCCCAACTCCCCACCCCCCCGGCTGTCCCTCCCCTAGTTCCCTTTCACAGATCCCAGTGTGTGATGCTCCCCTCCCTGTGTCCATGTGTTCTCAGTGTTCAACACACACCTATGAGTGAGAACATGTGGTGTTTGATTTTCTGTTTTTTAACTGACAAATAAAAAGTGTATGTTTTATGTTGTACAACATGATGTTTTGAAATATGTATACACTGTTGAATGGTTAAATTGAGCTAATTAACATATGTATTAACTCACATTTTTTTGTGGTGAGAACACTAAAAGTTCTCTCTTAGCAATTTTCAAATATATGACACTTTGTTATTAACTGTCCTCACCATGGCATGTAATTGATCTCTTGAACTTATTCTTCCTGTCTAAGTAAAACTTTGTATCCTTTGACCAACTCCCCCATTCTGCCCTCCTCATCTCTTACCCAACCAGCCCTAGCCACCAACCTTCTACTCTCTACTTCTATGAGTTCAACCTTTTTCGATTTCACATATAAATGAGATCACGTGGTATTTGTCTTTCTGTGCGTGGCTTACTTAACATAATGTCCTCCAGGTTCATCCGTGTTGTTACAAATAACAGGATTTACTTCCTTTTAAAGGCTGAGTAGTACTCCATTATGTATATATACAAATTCCCCACATTTTCTGTATTTTTTCATCCAGTGAAGGTCACTAAGATTGATTCCGTGTGTTAGCTAATGTGAATAATGCCACAAGGAACATGGGAATGCAGATATCTCTTCAACATACTGACTTCATTTTCTTTGGATGTTTTTCCAGTAGTGGGATTGCTGGATGATATTGTAGCTCTGTTTTTAGTTTTTGAGGAACTTTCATGCAGTTTTCCGTAATGGCTGTACTAATCTATATTCTCATCAACAGTGTGCAAGGGTCCCCTTCTCCACATTCTTGTCAATGTCATCTTTCTTCTTTTTGATGATAATAATGGGATTTAAATTCTGAAGAATGTGGTGATGAAAGTGAAGTTAGGGGCAAGGTGAAATCCAGTTTGGACACTGGGGATTTAAAGTCAATGGGAAGTACTTTTACCTTTGTAGAGATCAGTGACGAGGAATCTGGGTCAAAGGTGTCTGTCTGCAGGAGTGGGACCTGGGCCACTGGATGGAAACTGAGGGGCAGAATTGAATGGGTCCTGGTAACTGGGATGGGTCTCAGCAAGAGCAAATCATCTTGAAGGACGGTCCCCAAGGCAAAGGCCAAGGCAGTCCTGTGAGTATAATTAGAGCACAAAAGTTGGACAGGCCCGCAGCCTAGCAGAACTGGACGGTGTCTCAGAGCATGGGATCGAGACTGCTTAGGACTCAGGTCCCCAGAGATGTAACACATATATCCGGGCCATATAAATGTTTGTTCCTGGCCCCAGCTGTGGAAAGACAGCAGGGCAGGGACTGTGCCTTTAGAATATGAAGTCAAGAATGGGATTTGGGTGGGGTGACCTCATATTTTAGTTTTTATGACCCAGTCCTGCTATAGGTCAATTAACCCCTGTTATTATTTGAAGTATTTCCCTTCACTCTCAAAATGTGTCAAGTTTGGACATTATATGGTCTCCTACATTAGGAAGACATGAGCTGGTCTGGGCACATGCAGTAGATACTGTGCAATATAGTGTGTGCTTTAATATGTTTTCTCTCTCAACTATTTATCTGCTCCATACATCATTCCCTTCCCTAGACTTAGGTTCTTAAACTCTGGAAGACACAGAGCCATTCTCTATTACGAGACACAGAAAAAAAGGCAGATTGGGAGTTGAATGCTGACCTCACCACTTCCCAGCCGTATGACGTTGGACAAACCACCTTCCCTTCTTGAGCCTCATTCATCATATTTAGAACCAAAAACAATGCTGTGAGGATTAAGAAGGTATGTGTATGGTGCTGAGCACAGGTTCTGGTAAATAAAAGGACTCAGTCAATGACAGGTTCTATCCAGACAGTGACAGGTAGCAGGTATTGAGGGTAAGCATAGTACTTCACCAGTGGGGAGCTGGAACACTGAGAGTAGGTGAGGGGAGCCTGATACCTGGATCCCCAGAAGAGGGTCCCTGTCCAGGACACACATCTCAGGCAAGTGGGAGAAGACAGCAGTGCATGTGTGGTGGTAATTGCATTCCTTTCTAAAAAATTAGCTTCTTGGATCTGACATGCTTATGATCTAAAACAGAGATTTAATGTCCAAACAGAGATTTAATATTTACTTATGGGGCTGCATATCCATAAATAAGTGAGCAAGTAGGGAGTTTAAAAAGATGGTACATGTCTAATATTCCAGGCAGACCTATGTCAGCCATTCAGTAGTTCTTGACTCATTGCATCCTGATCTGGGTTCAAATTTCATGTGATCTCTGCTAGTCACTCAGGCAAGTTACTTAATCTTCCTAAATCTCAGTTTCTTAAACTGTAAAATTAGGATAATGATATAAACTTTACATGATCTGAGGATTAAGCGAATGAGGTATTTAAGTATTAACACTATGAACATAATATGTGCTCAAGAAATGGAGAAATCATCATCATGATCATCATCATCATCATCATCATCATTCTCTGAGGTTAGATTTCTGGGAAATGGTCCAGATGAGGCTGAAGCCTAGATCTGCTATTCCAGCACACGTCTCTGACCCTCAACTTAGTTTCTCTTCATCTAACACTTGGCCAGGGTGTAGTGGGGCTCAGTTTGTTAAAATTATCTAAAGAATGTTTGCATCTGTGTCACGAGGGATATGGACCTATAGCTTTCTTTTCTTGTAATATCTTTTGGGTTTTCTTTTTGGTATCAGAGTGGTGATGCTCACAAAATTAGATAGGAACTATTCCTTCCACCTAAATATTCTGGAAGAGTTTGTGCAGACTTTGATATGTCTTCCTTAAATGATTGGTAGATTAATTCTTCTGCATATAGAGTTTCGCTGTGAAAGGGTTATTTTATTTTATTTTTGTATTATACTTTAAGTTCTAAGACACATGTGCAGAATGTGCAGGTTTGTTACATAGATATAGATGTGCCATGGTGGTTTGCTGCACACCTCGACGCCTCATATACATGGAACCAATGACAAAAACCACATGATTGTCTCAATACATGCAGAAGAGGCCTTCAACAAAATTCAACACCCCTTCATGCTAAAACAACCTCTCAGGAAAGTAGGTATCAATGGAACATATATCAAAATAATAAGAGCAATTTTTGGCAAACCCACAGGCAATATCATATTGAATGGGCAAAAGCTGGAAGCATTCCCTTTGAAAACCAGCACAAGACAAGGATGCCCTCTCTCCCCGCTCCTGTTCAACATAGTATTGGAAGTTCTGGCCAGGGCAATCAGGCAAGAGGAAGAAACAAATGGTATTCAAATGGGAAGAGAGGAAGTAAAATTGTCTCTGTTTGCAGATGACATGATTGTATATTTAGAAAACCCCATCGTCTCAGCCCAGCCCAAAATCTTTTTAAGCTGCTAATCAGCAAAGTCTCAGGATACAAAATCAATGTGCAAAAATCACAAGCATTCCTATGCACCAATAATAGACAAATAGAGAGCCAAATCACGACTGAACTCCCATTCACAATTGCCATGAAGAGAATAAAATATTAGGAATACAACTTACAAGGGATGTGAAGGACCTCTTCAAGGAGAACTACAAATCACTGCTTAAGGAAGTCAAGGAAGTAAGAGACGACACAAACAAATGGAAAAACCTTCCAATGTCATGGATAGGATGAATCAATATCATGAAAATGGCCATACTGCCCAAAGTAATTTACAGTCAATGATATCTCCATCAAGCTACCATTGACTGTCTTAACAGAATTAGGCAAAAACCATTTTAAATCTCATATGGAACCAAAAAAGAGCCAGTAGAGCCAAGACAGTCCTAAGCAAAAAGAACAAAGCTGGAGGCATCATACTACCTGACTTCAAACTGTACTAAAAGGCTACAGTAACCAAAGCAGCATGGTGCCAGTACCAAAACACATATATGGACCAATGGAACAGAACAGAGGCCTCAGAAATAATGCCACACATCTACAACTATCTGATCTTTGACAAACCTGACAAAAACAAGCAATGAGAAAAGAATTCCCTATTCAATAAATGGTGTTGGGAAAACTGGCTAGCCATATGCAGAAAACTGAAACTGGCCCCATTCCTTACACCTTATACAAAAATTAACTCAAGATGGATTAAAGACTTTCTGCATTCTTAATTTAAGTTTTGTCCTCTTCGTATAGTATACTGGGATTATTTTTATTTTGGTAATTCTGAACATTGTTTATAGGACTATCCTCAATGTATCCAAGATCTTTCTTTTACTGCAAAATATCCTGCCCCTATATTTTAGAAAAATCACTTTCTCATTTGAGGAGATAATGTTACAGTGATCATTTTGGTAAAAATTGTTGAATGAATGACATCATTAATGAAGAACATTTAAGGTCGTTCACCAAAAAAGCTAAATCTTAACTATTAACTCTAATCATTTTCCTGCATAGCACTGACTGTAATGCCCATGATTATCCTTAGCCCTAATGCAAACACTGATAGCAAGGGATGAATACCACAGTCCCAGCTCTGATCCTAATCTTAATTCACACAAGGCTTAGGAACCACTGACGTCCCAAAAGAATAGAATATGGGGTGAATGAACAGTACAGAGAAAACAAGGCTGTGTCGGGAAAGAAAAAATAGATGCCTACAGGCCAAAATAGAACACAGCCTCTATGCCGCCCTGACCTGGCTCTCACCCCTTTAATCAGTGTGGCCCTCCACCAAATCCTGAACCAAATCCCAACATCACTCAAACTCCTATTGGAACAGAGCTCTTGGCACCTCCATCTGCCATTCCAAAGCTTCCTGATACTGTTAGGAAATGTAAATGAAATAATGAACGTGAAAATTCCTTATACACACTTGGCACAGGCAATCAGTGACATATTCTAAAAACGCTAAACAGGCAGATCACAACGCAGGAGCTCAACCAGTCCACCGTGAAAGAATTCATTCTAGTGGGCTTCACTGCCAACCCCAGGACCAGTCCTCTGCTCTTTACCTTCTTCTTCATCTTTTACCTGATGATCCTCATGAGCAGCAGCCTCCTCATCACCCTCATCCACCAGGACTTACACCTGCACACGCCCATGTACTTTTTCATCAGTGTCCTCTCCCTGCTGGACGTGTGCTACACCACCACCACTATGCCCCAGATGCTGGCACACATTCTCAGCAAGAAGAGGGCCATCTCTTTTGCTAGATGTGTGGCCCAGATGTACATCTTCCTTCTCTTTGGGGTCACTGAGTCTTGGCTTTTCTCCATCATGTCCGTAGACAGGTACATGGCCATCTGCCACCCTCTCAGGTACAAGGTCATCATGAGCCCCTGGGTGTATCTCCTCATGGTGGGTATCTGTGCAGCCTATGGCGTGCTGGGTAGCCTGTGCTATACTTTCTTTGCTATGCGCCTGCCCTATTGTGGGCTTAATGAGATTGACCACTACTTTTGCGAGGTTCCTGCAGTTCTGAAGCTGGCCTGTGCAGACACATCCTTCAATGACCTGGTGGACTTCATTATAGGCTTCAATGTCATTGTGGTACCACTCTCCCTGGTTGTCACAGTCTATGCCAACATCTTTGCCACCATCGTGAAGATCTGCTCAGCCCAGGGGCAAATCAAAGACTTTTCCACCTGTGCCTCCCACATCACTGTCGTCACCATGTTCGCCATTCCATGTATCATCATGTACATGGGCCCTGGCTCTGGCTCCTTATCAAACAGTGGCAAGAAAATGGCTCTTTTCTATAACATAGCCACATCCTTCCTCAATCCTGTCATCTACAGTCTAAGGAACAAAGATGTGAGAAAAGCTTTCTTCAAATGGATGGGATGGAGCAGGTCCCCAGAGTAAGACTTGAAAGCCAAAGACCTTGGGAGCCAAACAAAGCAAACTTGCAATCACCAATTCCCCAAGGACTTTTCCATGAGACCTAGTGGAGCTGGACTCTTCACCCTTGCCCAAGTGAGAGATGAACAAGGTGCTTGCACATCTGCGATATCTGTGATGAGGTCGGAGACAGAGAAAATTGTGAAAGTAAAGTGCAGTGGTTAAAATCTTGGACTTTAGTGCCAGACAGACCAGGATGACAGAGTTTCACCAGTTAGTAGGCACATGAATTTTTGCAGGTCATTTAACTATTTTGAGGTGTGTGATTCTTTCTTACAGGAAAGTTGTAATGAATATATGAAATAATTTGTAAAATGTGCTTAGTACAGAGCCTGGCATGTAGTCACCTTTCAACAAATGTTCATTTTAATTTTTTAAAATTTATTACTCAGGAATGAACCAACAACAAGTCATCAACCGTGATCCTCTGGGGCTGTGGAAGTGACTGGAGCCCTAGAGAGTAAAAGAAAAAGAGGGAAAAGTAGAAGAAAGAAAAACTCAAAAACTGAAAAGTAGAGAATCTTAGGGTGAGGAGACTTGAGAAAGAGGAAAGGTATCTTTATCTACTCACTTACACACTATGCCCATTAGAGCATCTGAGGTTGATTGAAATCATCTTGGGGAAAGGGTTGTTGTGTAACAGTGTTTTATTTCTGTGCTCTTCGAGAAACAATTTATACCTTTTGATTTTCTTTTTCCTCTTTTTTAAATAAAGTCTATTATGGAAAACTAGGGCCTTTCTTGAGTGATATCAAGGAAAAGGGATCCTGTCCACATAACGATGAGGAAAATTAGAGGGAGGAGAGTGGGCATAGTGTTACCACCAGATGCAAAGTCTGGAGAGAGCTAAAAACTTAATAGGAAGTTTTAGCTCCTTTCTCCTTTGCTTGGAAGGCCCTTCCCTCCAAACTCTGCTTATTACTCATAGAATCTTTACAAATCCCATGAGAATCTAGGGTCCATGCCAAGGGTGCAGGCTCCCAGTGTTCTCAAAAGTCTTACCCTACCTGCATACCTAGGAGCCTCAGTGTTGCATATATAATGAAGCAAAACTAAAATGCAAGTGACAAAACAGGGCATAAAATTGCAACATACTTATAGATGTATGGTTAACATCATTAACATAGAAAGGGCTCTTCCAAGTTGGGAAGAAAAATACAAACAGCTCAGAAAATCAGCAAGATGTGAACAGTTCATTTTTTAAAAACCCAAATCATTATCAAGCATATAGGGAAATTCCACCAAAGCAGGCATCAAGAAATGCAAATTAAAATATCAACATCATCTTTTACCTTTGAAACTGTCAGCGTTTTTAATCAGAGGTGGCCAGAATACAATGAAATTTGAAAGTTAGATTGCTAGTGGGAGTATAAATCATCTTTATGTAAGACAATTTGTCTTTATGTATCAAGAACCATAAATATTTTTATTCCCTTCAACCCAATAATTCCACTTTTAGGATATTTTTGGAATAGGTATCAGAAGCTCCGGAAAAAAAATGCAATTTTTTTTTGAGACACAGTTTTACTCTTGTTGTCCAGGCTGGAGTAAAATGGCATAATCTCAACTCACCGAAAACTCCACCTCCCAGGTTCAAGCGATTTTCCCGCCTCAGCCTCCCGAGAAGCTGGGATTACAGGCATGCACCACCATGCCCAGCTAATTTTGTAATTTTAGTAAAGATGAGGGTTTCTCCATATAAGTCAGGCTGGTCTCAAACTCCTGACCTCAGGTGACCTGCCCACCTTGGCCTCCCAAAGTGCTGGGATTACAGGCATCAGCCACCACGCCCGGCCCAACACAGTGATTTTTATTGCTACTTTTGGTGGGGAAAATTTAGAATCAACTGAAAGTATTTCTATAATAGTGACTTATTTAGATATATTATGGTATGATCATATAATGGTATACTGTGTAGCCATTGAAAATATATTTTAGAAACATATTTAATAATGTAAATGCTCACAACATGATGCTAAGTGAATAAAAGCAGGAAACAGATAGTGAACACCATTAACAGCTGTAATTGCCTTTTCATCCTTGAAATCAGACATCAAAGTTTTTAACTGGGAGAGAGGGCCACTAAGTCAACACATCTGTGTGCACATACACACAAACACAAAAACACACACACATAATCCAATTATGAAACTTAGTTAATAATAATGTATCAATATTGCTTTATCAATTAGAAAAAACTTACCACACTAAAGCAAGATACTAACAATAGGGGAAACTGTGAGAGGTGGGGTAGGGAGGAGGAATATTTGAGAAGTCTGTCCTTTACATGCAATTTTTCTATAAACCTAACACTGCCATAAAAAAATAACTAATTTAAAAGAGGTCAAATGAAAATACTAGAAATAAAAATCATGGTATCAGAAATGAATAATATCTAGAATTTACAAAGAACTTCAATGAATTTACAAGAAAAAAAAAACAACCCTATCAAAAAATAGGCAAAGGATATGAACAGACACTTCTCAAAAGAAGACATTTAGTGGCCAGCAAACTTACGAAAAAAAGCTCAATGTCACTGATGATTAGAAAAATGCAAATCTGCCTTTTGGCTCTCTGAGCAGCACCATGGCGGTTGGCAAGAAAAAGCGCCTTATGAAAGGCAGCAAAAAAGGAGCCAAGAAGAAAGTGGTTGATCCATTTTCTAAGAAAGATTGGTATGATGTGAAAACACCCGCTATGTTCAATATAAGAAATATTGGAAAGACACTAGTCACCAGGACCCGAGGAACCAAAATTGCATCTGACGGCCTCAAGGGTCGAGTGTTTGAAGTTGGTCTTGCTGATTTGCAGAATGATGAAGTTGCATTTAGGAAATTCAAGCTGACTGCTGAAGATGTTCAGGGCAAAAACTGCCTGACTAACTTCCATGGCATGGATCTTACCTGTGACAAACTGTGTTCCATGGTCAAAAAATGGCAGACAATGATTGAAGCTCATGTTGATGTCAAGACTACCAATGTTTACTTGCTTAGTCTGTTCTGTGTTGGTTTTACTAAAAAACGCAACAATCTGATACGGAAGACCTCTGATGCTCAGCACCAACAGGTCCGCCAAATCCGGAAGAAGATGATGGAAATCATGACCCTAGAGGTGCAGACAAATGACTTGAAAGAAGTGGTCAATAAATTGATTCCAGACAGCACTGGGAAAGACATAGAAAGGGCTTGCCAATCTATTTATCCTCTCCATGATGTCTTCGTTAGAAAAGTAAAAATGCTGAAGAAGCCCAAGTTTGAATTGGGAAAACTCATGGAGCTTCATGGTGAAGGCAGTAGCTCTGGAAAAGCCACTGGGGATGAGACAGGTGCTAAAGCTGAACGAGCTGATGGATATGAACCACCAGTCCTAGAATCTGTTTAAAGTTCAGACTTATAATAGTGGCAAATAAAATGTCTTATTTGTGGTCGGGCATGGTGGCTCACGCCTGTAATCCTAGCACTTTGGGAGGCTGAGGTGGGTGGATCACCTGAGGTCGGGAGTTCAGAACCAGCCTGGTTATCATGGTGAAAGCCCATCTTTATTTTTAAAAATAAAATAAAATAATAAAATAAAAAGTCAAAAAAAAAAAGAAAAAAAAGAGAAAAATGCAAATCCAAATCACAATGAGATACCATCTCACGCCAGTCAGAATGGCAATTATCAAAAAGTCAAGAAACAACAGATGCTAGTGAGGCTGTGGAGAAATAGGAATGCTTTTACATGGTTGGTGGGCATGTAAGTTAATTCAACCATTGTAGAAGACAGTATGGCGATTCCTTAAGGATGTAGAACCAGAAATACCATTTGTAAAAGGATAGCAATACCATAAGTAAAAGGATGGGCAAGGAAACATCATGTAAGCACTAATCAAAAGAAAATTGGAGTTGCTTTATTAACATCAGACATAACCAACTTCAGGATGAGGACTATTAGCAGGAATAGAGAGGGACATTATGCAATGATAAATAAATTTATCAAGAAGACGTGACAGTCCTAAACTTTAATGCACCTAAAAACAGAGCTTCAGCAATCCCATTACTGGGTATATACCCAAAAGAAATAGAAATCATTCTATATGCACACGTATGTTTATTGCAGCACTATTTACAATAGCAAAGTCATGGAACTAAGCCAAATGCCCATCAATGATAGACTAGATAAAGAAAATGTGGTACATATACACCATGGAATACTATGCAGCCATAAAAAGGAATGAGACTGGGGAGGATCCAAGATGGCCAAATAGAAGCAGCTCCAGAGTGCAGTTCCCAGCAAGAACAACGCAGAGGGTGAGTGCTCACTGCATTTCCAAACAAGTTTTCACTGCCCACAGATCAGGAGATTCCTGGGCCGAAAAGCACCACGAGTTTTCGGCATGGCTGGTGCCACGGGTTGGCACACAGAAACTCACACAAATCTAGGCAGCCATTTCAACTGGCACCGGGAACACCTGGGAGACAGAGCTGCCTATTCAATCGAAAGGGAAGGGGCTGAGACAGGAAGCCAGGCAATCTGGCTTGGCAGGCACCACCCCACAAAACAAGCAATCTGAAACACTCTGGATTGAGTGTTTTGCAGCAAGCACAGTCCAGCTCAGTGGGGGAAAGGGCGTCCATCACTACCTAGGCAGTCCGTCAATACCGAGACAGTTCACACAACAGCTGGGCAGAGCCTGTGGCAGCTCAGCAGTGCCTCTGCTGGCAGACTGTGACTAGACTACTCTGTGCAGGGCAGGGCATCCAGGTAAGAGCACGTCAGGAACTTATAAATAAAGCCAACCTTTCTAGGTCAGAGCACTTGGGAAAAGAGGCAGTTATGAGTTCTGCTGCAGCAGACTTAAAGTACCTGCCCAGCAACTCTGCATGGAACAGTGGAGCTCCCAGCACAGCACTTGAGCTCCTAGAAGGGACAAACTGTCTCAAGCAGCTCCCTGACCCCCATATACCCAAAGAGACACCTCATAA